AAATACTACCCATCAAGGTACAAGCCCACCTCAAATCAAGTTCATAGTGTGAAGTTCCTGAATTGACTGATTCAGGTTGTGAGTCCATAATGTCCCATATCTGATAAACTTCACAAAGGATAAAAAAAGAAAAAAAGAAACTTACCCCAGGAAAAGCAAGCCAGAATTGCTGGGAGTGGATCCCAATCATTAGAATTTTAAAAATCTGGGTGAATTTAAGATGTAGCTAGAATTGACAGCCCCTGGACTTGGGAGATGTGCAGGGTAAAGGAACCAAGTCATAAAAGAGAAACATATTTAAACTTAAATATTATGTCTAAACATGAGCTTTAGCTGTGGCCACTGGTACATGGCACTGACCATAAGCAAAAGACCAGAATCTACTGTTTTTTTCTTTTTACCTTTTAATATAGAAAAGAAAAAAAAAAGCAAACATACACAAAAATAGAGAGAAAAGATTAATCACCATGTATTCATTACCCAGATCCAACAATTATCAGCATTTCCCCAATTTTGTGTTAAAAATTATCAAAGGAAACTCTCCTGTGTGCCTTTTCAAAGTCATGCTAGAGCATGGTCTAACAAACCCACCCAAAGTCTAACAAATCATTTTAGAGAAAAGTTCCCTAAACTCAGCACTGTTCACATTTTGGGCCAGATAACTCTTTGTTGTGCAAGGTTGTCCTCTGTATGGTGGAAAGCATCCCTGGCCTCTATCCACCACGTGACAGTAGCACTTCCCCTCCCCCTAAGTCATCTCCAGAGATTGCCTAATATGCCCTGGGGATTAAAACTGCACCAGTTTGAGACCCCACTGCTCTAGCAGAATGTAACTTAGTTTGATGGGCTTTTTACTACCAATTAGGATGCAGACTATATAGATAAATGTTAACTTGGAGACAACTGGTACATTTCATATATTTGTCTGTTATAGATGCAAACTGATTCTGTGAAGAGAAGATAACCTTAAAGGTTATGGTTTTACTGCCATGTAGGACATTAGTTTTGTATCTAACATTGCAATCTTATTCCAAGATTCTTTACTCGACTGACTAAATACCTATTTACTTTGAACCAAATTTCCAGTCCTGCTAGTTCCCTCATTAGTAAGTTAAGTATATCTCTGAATATCTGTAAGAACTCTAATTTTCAACTTTTTGAAAATTATACTTTGAGACTTGTATCGCCAGTTACCACCAGCACCACCACCCCGGCTCCAGACAGAACAGGATGGGGTGCAGCCTCAGCTCACGCCAGGCTACTCTCAAGATCTATCTTGATCCAGGGGACAGTCACATCCATCACATCCTATCTAGATCTGGAACAGTCTTCACTCATGCAAGGGCAAAGCCCTATTTCTACTCAGGTCAGGGCACAGTCCTTTCTGCTACAGAACAGGGAAGAGCTATGCCTCCTTTTAGGCCACATTTGGGGCCCGGTATCCCTTTAAATGATGACAGTGTAGAGGGCCACCACATCTGGTTCAACAGGCTGAGATCTATTAGCTGAGGGAATAAATAAGAGCTGATGGTCAGTGCAGGCTGGGTTAGCCCAGAGCCTTTAATTTGCCAAACCACAAATCCTTGGAGGCTCCTTCCTCTAATTCCTCTGTTTAGAGGGGGCACTGCCATAAGCCATAAGTGTTCATGATGGTCTTGCCAGGGTCTCATCTTTCCACAGACTACAGTAAAGTGCTGTCAGTTCTTCTTCCATGCCTCTCTCTTTTCCCTAGACCACTCGATCACTCAATACCCTGAACACTCTTTTTCTTCAAAAATTTAAGGTAAAATTTACATATGATAAATGCACAAATCATAAGTGTTTACTTTGATGAGTCTTGACAACTCTTGAAACCACCACCCAAAACAATATATAGAACATTTTCATCACCCCAGGAAATTCTCTTCAGAGAATTCAACAGTCACTAGAGTCAACTGCGTTCTGATTTATAACTCAACAGATTTGTTTTGCCTGTTCTTGAGCTTCACATAAATTGAATCCTACAGTGTATACCCTTTTGTAAACACTCTCCTTTTACCCATTTTCTCTTTCCTTGTGTACTCCGCCCCCCACCAGACCTCAACATCTTGAGTATCCTTTATTTTTATTGGAGACCTCAGTCTTCTCTTTGTTCCCTAATTCAGTGCCTTAAATATACTGAAGTAAAAAATTTAACAATAATGGTAATGATCCTTTACCTTCGTATAAAATAGACATACCTGGCTCAGAGTCCTTCTTTTTTACTTTCTAGCTGAGTGATTATGGATTGGTCACCTCACCTCTATAGTGCATTTTCTTTAGGATGGTGATGATAACATTGTTCTCATAGTGTTTGTGGACGTGTTTAAGGTTGTTCCTTAAATATTTCTAGCTCTCCCCATTCCAAGCTTATGGTAAGATTGTATTTCTATCATGTGGTTGGGTGACTACTCAGTAAGCAGTGAGAGGAAATGATATGTGTCATTTCTGAAGCAGAGCATTTAATTCCCAGCATAAGACATTCCAAGGCTCTCTTTCCTTCTGCCTTTATGACTGGTGCTAGAATGAGGGTAGCCCTTGAAGTGAGAAGGCCAGCAACAGGCCAGGCATGTAATGGGCACTCTCTAAATGGTCATTTTTGTTAATTACTATAATCACTTCAAAGCACTGTCACATAAACCACTTGTATTAATTCAAGTGAAGCAAGACTCTTCAACTCTTCGCTAAATTTTAAGTATGTAGCAGAGCCATAGGCCTTTAATTTCTCTATCATGCAGGAGAAGAGGAAATTGCTAATAATCCCCTCTGATTTGATAGAACAATCTCACAAGTTTAGGAACTTGTTTAAGGAATCCAGAGATGTCAATTATAGCATTTTTACCACAGCATCTAAGTTACCGATTGCTGCATAACAAGTTACTCCCAAACTCAGCAGCTAAAAACAAATATTTAATAGCTTACACATTATATGAAGGTCAAGGATCTGCTAGCTGGGTGGTTCTGAGTCCCTCATGTGGTTGCAGTCATCTCAAGGTTTAACTAGGGTACAGGATCTGCTTTCAAGATGACCCCTTGATACAAGAATGCATCAGTTCCTCCCTGGCTGTTGGCAGGAGATCTCAGTTCCTTGCTACATGGGCCTCTTCATAGGCTATCTCAGTGTCCTCAATGACATGGCAACTAACTTCTCCAGAGTACGTTATTTGAGAGAAAGAGCATGAGCACCTCCAAGACAGAAGCTGAGGTGTCATTTACAACTTAATCTCAGCAGTTACATCACTTCTACTGTATACTATTAGTCTCACAAATCTGCCTTGGTACAACGTGGAAGGGGACTACACAAGGGTGTGACTACCAGGAGGTAGGAATTGTTGAGAGCTATTTTACAGGTCAGCTATTATACCACTTGGTAAGACCACCAAATAGAATTTCTTTTTTTAAAGCTATTTTCATAGGACAAGGCAATCATTTCCAGAGATGTTCCAAAACAATGCCTGTGATGTGCAGAGCACTGCTTTGGATGCATTAAAAACAGGACTCTGGTGAATGCTGTCTCTACCCCACCACTTTGCCTGGGCACTCACCATGCCCATATGCTGATGGCTGGCTTCTTCCCAACTACAGACTCTGCCTCAGATCTGCCCATGAGGCAGGCTGAAAATGCTACAGCTTTAAGGCCCTTACAATAGCCCTCAACAATGAGGAAACAGAGATGACATATAACTATCTCAGCTTCATCAGCCCTTGAGTGGGACAGTTTGGAGGTGATTTCTACACAATCTCCCAGAGTTCCCCACAGGACTGAGCCACCATTGCTCACAGGGGTACTCTGGCTCATGGATGCACTCTGTGTTGGTTTCCATCCCTCCCCTGTCTCACTTACCCATCCTCTACCTGTCAAATAAACTGCTGGCACTCACACCAATATTTCAGGTCGTCTTCTGGAGCATGAAAATAAAGGAAAACCTCACTCAAATGGAGTAGGGCGGCCTGAAAGGGGAGCTCTCAGGCAGTACCACTCCATGTCAATTACAGGAAAAACTGACCCCAACAGAAGAATCAACAGGAAAGAATCATCAATCACAGGCCTCAACAAGAAGAGATGTGCATTGCATCTCCTACAAGAAATCCACTACCCCAGCAACTCAGCCAATGAGAAACTCTCATCACTCTGAACTTTCACTTTTCTCCAAAGGACTTTTCTTCAAAACAACCCCTCCCAACTACCTCCTTTTTCTCTATAAAATAACTGTTCCTCTCCTTTGTTTGGTGGACTTGCCTATGATTTTTGCTGTAGCTTGCTCGTCCGGAATTGCAATTCTCTGCTATTCCAGCAGAGATAAACCCATTTTCTGGTATTTCATTTTTAATGTCAAAAAGCGTCAAGCCACCTAAGATAAAGACTCGGCTTTCAACGTATTCTTTCAATAGCCGGCTAAGAACCTCCTACTTGCCCTCTCTTGCAGCTCCGCCCCCTCCGTAAAGTATCGCGCGGGCCTCAGCCTCCCCAACAGAAGAGCCTCTCTTCTTCGCTGTTCTCCAAATCCTAGAGCTGGCCCAGAAAAAGTGTCACCTTGCTTTACAGACGTTCCTCCTGAGAGATGGCCGCACCCATTGCACGTAAAAGCCGTATAAAGGACGCGGCCATCTTACCTCACTGCCTGCGCAGCTGGAGACAAAGAAAACTCAATTTCCAGGTCAGAGAGCCTCTATATTGGTCTCAGGAGGTTTGGGCTTCTGAGACGCTAAAAGCAGCAGTGACGTCTATGTTTAGGGACCCCGGAACACTTGCTTCTCCCCGCCCTAAAATAGCCTAATCGTCTAACAAATGGCCTAGTCATTCGCCGTACGGCACAGATTCAAACATGGCCGCCCCCAGAAAGAGGTTGTCAAGCAGGCGCGGCCATCATACCTGCCGTTAAAATTCAGAAACCCAGAATCCTGTTCTCTGGAAGATTGCCAGGTGGCGGCCGACAGCCTCAAAGTTGCGACTGAGTCTGCGCACGGCCACTCCGGATGGGAAATGCTCATACCGCGGAGAGGCGGCGTGGTGCGGCAGTTTCAGGTTATGGGCGCGGATGCGGGGAAAATGGGAAAGGTCAGTGTGAGAAACAGCCCAAATTCAGGACCTGTGTAGGAGAGCGACCAGACGGCTACGGTGGCCCAACTGGGTCAGTCATGGGAACCCGTAAGGCTCAGAGACTGAGGGTACTGAAGGGTTAAGTGATTGGGCGTCCGAGCCTCTTGGGGGAGGGAGTCTGTGGTGGCGGGTTTGTGTGAGTCAGTGTCAGTGTCTGTGAAGAAGATGGATTGGGAGTATATGGGAGATATGGGAGTCAATAAACGAGGGTTCTTGATTGAGAGAGTGCGTGGGGGTCAGTTTATGGTGGTCTTCAAGGGTCTGAGGCCAAGTGGGTTTCTTCGAAGACACTGATTTGAACGGCGTTAGGGCTCAGTGATCAGAAGCCTGAGGAGTCAGTGATTGGAGGTTTTAAGTTCTGTTTGGGTACCTGGAACTGGTGATTGTGGAAACTTCGAGGTTCAGTTCTGAGGGTGGTCAGTGAGGATCAGGGTTTGGAGAAATCTTTAGGCCATCAGTGATGAAGACTTCCTTTAGATCATCGATGGGGGTGTCTGAGGGCATCAGTGACTGGACTTTTGTATATCAGGGAATGGGGAATAGAGGGATCAATGGGGGGGAGGTGTCAGTGACTGGGACTGTTAGTAATTGTGGGGGGAGGTAGGACAGTGGGAGTCCGCGATTGATCCCCAGTCTTTGGGATAGCATTGGAGATCATTGTGGGTTCGCCATCACGGATCTGTGTAATTCATTGTTTCACTGTTCGGCAATCAGAATGGATCAGTGAGTTTTGTAGTCACTGACTAAGTGGCCTTTGATGGTCAAGTTTGGCATTCCGGGATATCTGTGACTACAAGGACCTCTGGGAGTTAATAGATTGGAGACACCGCGTGTGTCTGTGATTAGGTGGCTTAATGGGGGTTGGTGTTGAGGCTTGCAAAATGCAGACGTTGGGGATGGGAGAGTCAAGGATTTGAGGCTGCAACCTTGCACAGTGGGAACACACTTCACCCATGTGACATGCCCCAGCTGATGAGCAACCAGTTCCGTTCAGTTCGTTAGGGTGAAAGCCCACTTCAAAACTCTTTTTGAAACCTCCCTCTCTGGGAATTCCCTGGCGGTCCAGTGGTTAGGACTGTGTGCTTTCACTACTGAGGGCCCAGGTTCAATCCCTGGTCGGAGAACTAAGATCCTGCAAGCCACGGGGAGCAACCAAAAAAAAAAAAAAAAACCTTCGTCTCCCTTTTTTACTGTTCCCCACATGAATGAAAGTGCTTTGAAAGGATCAAGTGTTAGAATTCTCTAAAGTAACATCTTGTTAAAAATGCATATTTCTCCTAATATTTCCTTTAAGGTTCTTTCTGGAAAATGTAATGACACGTCCATCTGTGACAGCATCCCAAGAGTCAGCCTGGTTTCTGGAAATCTGTTCTGACTCCATGGCAGCTAGGATGGATGTAACTTTGCCTGTGGTTAGAAAACAAAGAGTTTACTGAGTAAGTATCTAAACTGATGTAAAAGATTTTGGTGAAGGAGCAAACCTTGAGAGCATTCGGAAAATACTTTTATCTAGGCTTAACTTAAAAATAATGTTCCCACCACACACACACACACACACATACACACACACACAGACACACACACACACAAATAAAGAAAAAAAAGTTATTATGTGAGATGATGGAGATGTTAACTAACCCTGTTGTGGTAATCATTTTGCAATGTATACATGTATCATATCAGGGCATTGTACATCTTAAACTTACACAGTGTTATATGTCAACTATATCTCTATAAGGCTGGGGAAAAAAAGATGAATTATGGAAGGAAAAGAAACTGGATCTAGAAGTTACTGTGTTCTAAGAATTTTTTTGCTTCATTCTGTGTTTTTTAGGCATGGTATGTTTGACCTCCGTGAATCTGTGCCATATAAAATCCTGGTAGAACAATTCAATAACCGTAAAACCACAATAACAAGCGCAAAAACAAAAGTTAAAGCTACTTTTAGAAACTGTTCTTCACTGAAATTAAAGTCAAACTAATGGTGATTAAGATGGACTGAGACAAAATTACAAATGAAATGCAAATATGATTTTGACCATTAGCTTAATAAAAGGGTGAAATGCTTAAACAGTATTTTAATTGTTTTTTATAACTATTACATTCAATCCTTATGTAGTCTTTAGACAAAACACAATGAGTATATCACCTTAAGGAGCAAAGGAAGTTGAGAGTAAGGCAGGTAACATCTTTCAGAAGCCATACATGTCAAGCTTTCATTTTTAGAGCAGACAGTCTCTGATTTTTCCTTCCACAGAATCAAAGATACAGACCACATATGCAAGGGTAAGGAGTTAGGGCATTTTCTTTTTCTTGTAGCTCTTTTCCTTCATCACCTACACTGTGCTCAATGCCAGGTGTGGGAGCAAATACTTTTTCTTTTTTAAGTTTTTAACATAAATCTTTTATTGAGATATAAAATGCATAGAAAAATATACATACAGCTCAATGAATTGTCACAAAGAGAACACCCCTGGGTGTTCAGATCACAAAACAATGTTCTAGCACCCTGAAATTCTCATGATACCCCCTCCCAGTTACTACCCTGCCACGGGGAACCATTCTCCTAATTCTAACATTACAGATTAATTTTGTCTGTTCTTGAACTCTAATTAAATGGAATATCTATACCTGATGGGGTGGCAGTATGTGACTCTATGTGAAACATTTTTTTAAGTTTGAATACAGATTGTTTCATTTTATTTATGCAAGAAACATTTTTCCAGATCGTTTCCAGGTCTGGACACAGATACACAGACAGTCAAATGTTCTTATGTTAAGGCTACAGCTCAGTGAATTTTTACATTAGAGAACTATGTAAACACAACGTAGATCACGATATACATCATTTCTAGCATGCCGAAGCCTTCCTTATCAGTCAATACCCACTGCTGCCCCTGGGTCTAATTCAATGGATTAATTTTGCCTGTTTTTGAACTTGACTTAAATGGAATCATAGAAATAATCTGAAGCCAAAACATTCATACAATGTGGAAGTTTTGTCTGAAATTCTGAAACCAGACACACACCAGGACAAAATTCTGTTCTATAGCCCTGGCTTGGCCATTTGAGATTGCCTGTTTTCTGTTATTCCCTCTGGAATCCAAAAACATAAACATTTAAGTGAACCCTGCAGTTTGGGGTGAATTTGGAGTCAGGATCCTGTTAATGAAGTTAACAAGTTAAGGCTGATTCTTCTTTGTAGGTAATTTGGAACGGGACCTCAGAGCCCCCTGGTCAAAATCTCTTAGCCTTTGGAGACTGACCGTTGGCTGCAGAGACTGAATAATGCAGCTTGAAAAAGAGCCTGCAGGGAATCCCTGGCGGTTCAGTGGACAGGACTCGGCACTTTCACTGCCGTGGCCCGGGTTTGATCCCTGGTCAGGGAACTAAGATACTGCAAGCAGCGGGGCATGGCCAAAAAAAAAAAAAAGCCTCCATGTGGTTGCCTGCCTCCATTTGACAGTAAGTTGTAGACGTGATAGCCCTTTTTACCCCTAATGTGAATTTCCTGAGTACAAGAACATTTTCTTATGTGACCACAATATAATTATCAAAAGCAGGGACGTTAACATTGCAACAGTATTATTATTTAAAAAAATTTTTTTCACATCTTTATTGGAGTATAAATGCTTTACAATGTTGTGTTAGTTTCTGCTGTACAACAAAGTGAACCAGGTATATGTATACAAATATCCCCATATCCCCTCCCTCTCAAGCCTCCCTCCCACCCTCCCTATCCCACCCCTCTAGGTGGTCACAAAGCACCCAGCTGATCTCCCTCTGCTATGCAGCAGCTTCCCACTAGCTATCTATTTTACATTTGATTGTGTATATACATCAATGCTACTCTCTTACTTCATCCCAACTTCCCCTTCCCCCTCTGTGCCCTCAAGTGTGTTCTCTACGTCTGCGTCTTTATTCCTGCTCTGCCACTAGGTTCATCAGTCCTGCTTTTTTAAATTCCATATATGTGCGTTAGCATACGGTATTTGTTTCTGACTTCACTCTGTAGGACAGATTCTAGGTCCATCCACCTCACTCCAAATAACTTGATTTCGTTCCTTTTTATGGCTGAGTAATATTCCATTGTATATATGTACCACATTGTCTTTATCCAGTCATCTGTTGACGGACATTTAGGTTGCTTCCATGTCCTGGCTATTATAAATAGTGCTGCAGTGAACATTGTGGTACATGTCTCTTTTTGAATTATGGTTTTCTCAGGGTATATGCCCAGTAGTGGGATTGCTGGGTCATATGGTCATTCTGTTTTTAGTTTTTTAAGGAACCTCCATGCTGTTCTCCATAGTGACTGTACCAGTTTACATTCCCACCAACAGTACAGGAGGATCCCCTTTTCTCCACACCCTCTCCAGCATTTATCGTTTGTAGATTTTTTGCTGATGGCCATTCTGATACCTTGTTGTGGTTTTGATTTGCATTTCTCTAATGATTAGTGATATTGAACATCTTTTCATGCATTTGTTGGCCATCTGTATGTCGTCTTTGGAGAAATGTCTATTTAGGTCTTCTGCCCATTTTTGGATTGGGTTGTTTGTTTTTGTGATATTGAGCTGCATGAGCTGCTTGTACATTTTGGAGATTAATCCTTTGTCAGCTCCTTCATTTGCAAATATTTTCTCCCTTTCTGAGGGTTGTCTTTTCTTCTTTTTTTTTAATTTTTTTATTTTTTTGCGGTACGCAGGCCTCTCACTGCCGTAGCCTCTCCCGTTGCGGAGCACAGGCTCCAGATGCGCAGGCTCAGCGGCCATGGCTCACAGGCCTAGCTGCTCTGTGGCATGTGGGATCTTCCCGGACCGGGGCATGAACCCGTGTCCCCTGCATCAGCAGGCGGACTCCCAACCACTGTGCCACCAGGGAAGCCCCCTGTCTTTTCTTCTTGTCTATGGTTTCCCTTGCTGTGCAAAAGCTTTTAAGTTTCATTAGGTCCCATTTGAAACAGTATTATTATTGTTATCATAGTAGCATCAAGTGAAGAAAAATCAAAAACAAAACACACAACATAAGAGCTGTGAGTTGAGTTTTATTCAGTGTCTTACTGAGAACTATAGCCCAGGAGACAACCTCTCAGCTCTGAGGAATTGCTACGAAGAGGCAGGGGAGAAGCCAGTATGTATATGATTTTTTTTGACTGGGAAATACATGTAGTCAAGCATAAAAAGATTATTGCTAGTCACAAAGAATAGACATCTCAAGTTAATGATTTTAGTGCTTTTCTGTGTATGGAAGAATTTGGGGTCATTGAAATTCTTCCTTAGATATGCATCTTAACTATCTAGGTGCCCTTCTATCCAAAGCACAGAGTGCCTCCTGTCTTTTCCATTCTCAATTTCCCTCAGGGCACACTGTCAGTAGGCACCCACAGTGGCTGATGACTTGATACTTGTAGAACTGGAATGGTGAGCAACATTTTTTGTTTACAGCTGTCTCATCCACAGACCTTATTTAGATTTCTTTAACTGTCCCAATAATGTCCTTTATAACAATTATGTTTTTCTGGTCCAGGAATCTAATCCAGGATTACATGTTGCATTTAGTTGTCATGTCTCTTTAGAGTCCTTTAATTGGGAATATTTTCTCAGTCACTTTTTGCCTCTTTTGACCTTGATGTTTTGAGGAGTACAAGCTAGTTATTTTTATAGGATGTCCTTCAATCGAGTTTTTCTGATTTTCCTTATGAAATATGTACATTTCTGATTGCTAGTTGGAGTTATGGTGTGTCCTCAATGTCCCATATCAGGAGATGCATGATGTTGGTTTGTCATATTGCTGGTAATGTTAAAACTCTGATCATTTGGTTAAGGTTATCCACTGTAACCTTAATAGTGGGTTGTCTACCATAAAATTATGTTAATAAGTATCTTATGGGGGCATTTTTTGAGACCATGTAAATAACCTCAAACTTTCATTCACTAGCGTTAATATTATCCTTTAATGATTGTTGCCTGAGTCAATCACTACTGTTATGGTTGCCAAACGATGATTTTCTAATTGTATCATTCCCTTATATTGATTAGTTGGAGCTTTCCCTTATCCCCCATGTATTTATCAGTATAAATATAATAGTGCATCCTAGTTACATATAAAACAGGAGCTACACATTAGAAACTTACAAGCTGTTTACACTGTTGAGTTAGATCATGAGCCAGAGCTCAAACCTTCTAAATCTCAAAGAAAGCATCTTGGGAGATTGACTAGTTTACAGAGAAAGAGTTGTCAGATCATGTGACAAATAACCCACATAGACAGGAAACCTTTAGGGTTCCACTCTGGCCAGATAGATTTCTAAAGTGCTGTCACAATGAGGGATTTGGGAGCTAGAGAAGGAAAAGAAAGGGACTGTCAGAAATGTAGCAGAACTGTCGAAACCTGATGAAATGATCCATACATATTGTAAAACCCAAGTCATGGTTTTGTTGATTCTGTGACAGTATATCATATTGTATTTTTAAAAACTCATGGTGGAAAAGGTCAGATGAGATTATGTGGGATAGTTTCTTCAATTGAGTTATACCAAACTGTGGGTAGTTTTTTGTGGTTTTATTTTCTGTCTTGATTAAATGTTTAATCAAAGAAGTGAGAAGATATATATGAAAAGTGGAAGGAATCAATAGATACAAATGGAGAAATTAATGAGTTAGAAAAGAAGAAAGGGAAAACTGATAAATCTGATTTTTTAAAAATCAAAAATATAGATTAAGCCACTAGCAAACCTTATCAAGTCAAGAGGAAATTAACAGATATACAAATAGTGCAAAAAAGGAGAACAACCATATCATTAAGAAATATTTTTGTAAAACTTTACATTAATATATTTTCAAGGCTGGCATGCAAAGAATGATTTTCTAGGAATATATGGATATACGAAAATTCCATACAAAGAGAAGGAGAACTAAAAGCTGTGCAAATTTGAAATACTCAGAAAGGTACCTGTACACCACCTCCTGCCATTCCCTATTTCTCTTCTCAAGAAAGAAAGACAAGGCTTAGATAGTTCAGTTGGTGTTTGAGATTTGAAGTAGCTTCCAAGTAACTTACAATTCTTCAAATAGTTAAATTCTCCAAGGGAATTTATAAAGGAGGAGAATGCTACCACATGTTTTTATAAAGTCATCATTGTTGCTGTCAACAAAAAATTAATCAGTTGATCTAAGAAAGAAATGGAAAAATTTATTCAAGCCAAATTTGAGGACTATAACCTGGGAGGAGCATCTCAGAAAGCTCTGAGAACTGTTCTGCCTGTTAGAAGTCAAGGCACAGTTATATAAATGTTTTGAGACAGAGGGCGTACAGCAAATGATATATTATTGACAGTTTACACAATCTAGATCTAAGCATCATCGTGGCCCCTTACAAGATCAAGAAGGAATGTTATCTTTTAAGGAGTTGTCTGGTTGATGCTAGGAGAATGTTGCTCTTTATGGTTGAGCAGGTGTTTCTGCCCATGGCGGAGGTTTGGTTGATGCGTAACGCAGATACACAATGCACAACAGCAGAGAGATGAAGCCAAAGGTCAGAGAAAAATTTTTATGTTTGAATTTTTCCTTGACAGAAAATATGGATTTTATTGCACTGATTGTAAGACTAGAAGAGGTGGTATTGCATAAGAATACTATAGACCAACTTTGTGAATATATATGCAAAATATTTTTTAAAAAATTAACAGTATATTCAAATGATAATGCATTCTGACTGAGAGGAAATTCATTCTAAAGATTTAAGGAAAGTTCAATTTTTTTTTAAAATTTTATTTTATTTTTTATACAGCAGGTTCTTATTAGTTATCTATTTTATACATATTAGTGTATACATGTCAATCCCAATCTGCCAATTCATCCCACCACCACCACGCCCCCACCCCCACCACTTTCCCCCCTTGGTGTCCATACATTTGTTCTCTATATCTGTGTCTCTATTTCTGCCCTGAAAACCAGTTCATCTGTACCATTTTTCTAGGCTCCACATATATGCGTTAATATACGATATTTGTTTTTCTCTTTCTGACTTACTTCACTCTGTATAACAGTCTCTAGATCCATCCACGTCTCTACAGATGACCCAATTTCGTTCCTTTTTATGGCTGACTAATATTCCACTGTACATATGTACCACAAATGGCCCAATTTCATTCCTTTTTATGGCTGAGTAATATTCCATTGTATACATGTACCAAATCTTTTTTTTTTTAACATCTTTATTGGAGTGTAATTGCTTTACAATGGTGTGTTAATTTCTGCTTTATAACAAAGTGAATCAGTTATACATATGTTCCCATATCTCTTCCCTCTTGCATCTCCCTCCCTACCACCCTCCCTATCCCATCCCTCTAGGTGGTCACAAAGCACCAAGCTGATCTCCCTGTGCTATGCGGCTGCTTCCCACTAGCTATCTGTTTTACTTTTGGTAGTGTATATATGTCCGTGCCACTCTCTCACTTTGTCACAGCTTGCCCCTCCCCCTCCCCATATCCTCTAGTCCATTCTCTAGTAGGTCTGTGTCTTTATTCCTGTCTTACCCCCAGGTTCTTCATGACATTTTTTTTTCTTAGATTCCATATATATGTGTTAGCGTACGGTATTTGTCTTTCTGTTTCTGACTTACTTCACTCTGTATGACAGACTCTGGGTCCATCCACCTCACTACAAATAACTCAATTTCATTTCTTTTTATGGCTGAGTAATATTCCATTGTATATATATGCCACATCTTCTTTATCCATTCATCTGATGATGGACACTTAGGTTGCTTCCATGTCCTGGCTATTGTAAATAGAGCTGCAGTGAACATTATGGTACATGACTCTTTTTGAATTATGGCTTTCTCAGGGTATGTGCCCAGTAGTGGGATTGCTGGGTCGTATGGTAGTTCTATTTTTAGTTTTTTAAGGAACCTCCATACTGTTCTCCATAGTGGCTGTATCAATTTACATTCCCACCAACAGCGCAAGAGCGTTCCCTTTTCTTCACACCCTCTCCAGCATTTATTGTTTCTAGATTTTTTTATAAAGGAGGCAAGAATATACAGTGGAGAAAAGACAGCCTCTTCAATAAGTGGTGCTGGGAAAACTGGACAGGTACATGTAAAAGTATGAAATTAGAACATTCCCTAACACCATACACAAAAATAAACTCAAAATGGATTAAAGACCTAAATGTTAAGCCAGACACTGTCAAACTCTTAGAGGAAAACATAGGCAGAACACTCTATGACATAAATCACAGCAAGTTCCTTTTTTTTTTTTTTGCGGTACGCGGGCCTCTCACTGTTGCAGCCTCTCCCGTTGCGGAACACAGGCTCCGGACGCGCAGGCTCAGCGGCCATGGCTCACGGGCCCAGCCGCTCCACGGCATGTGGGGATCCTCCCTGACTGGGGCACGAACCCATGTCCCCTGCATCGGCAGGCGGACTCTCAACCACTGCGCCACCAGGGAAGCCCAGCAAGGTCCTTTTTGACCCACCTCCTAGAGAAATGGAAATTAAAACAAAAATAAACAAATGGGACCTAATGAAACGTAACAGCTTCTGCACAGCAAAGGAAACCATAAACAAGACCAAAAGACAGCCCTCAGAATGGGAGAAAATATTTGCAAATGAAGCAACTGACAAAGGATTAATCTCCAAGATTTACAAGCAGCTCATGCAGCTCAATAACAAAAAAACAAACAACCCAATCCAAAAATGGGCAGAAGACCTAAATAGACATTTCTCCAAAGAAGATATACAGATTGCCAACAAACACATGAAAGAATGCTCAACTTCATTAATCATTAGAGAAATGCAAGTCAAAACTACAATGAGATATCATCTCACACTGATCAGAATGGCCATCATCAAAAAATCTAGAAACTCCTGGGTTTGGTTTTGTTTTTTTTCTCAGTTCCCTGACCGGGGATTGAATCCGGGCCCTCAGCTGTGAAAGCCCGGAATCCTAACCACTAGGCCACCAGGGAACTCCCATGGGTTTTGTTAAAGGAGGTAACTTTTGGAAAGCCCCTAAGGATGGGCTTTTTAAAATTATCATTTATCATTCCTGTTTTCACAGATGAGGAAAATGAGGCCCAGTGAAGTGAATTGTCTAGACTAGATCCCTTCAGTCAGTTAAAGGAATCACTGGCTTCAGACTTCTGTCTGAGTAACTGTCAGGCTCAAGGTCTTTCCAAAAGTTTCCCCTGCCCCAAACCCGGAGCACAGCCATCATTCAGATATGTCTACTGCCCAGTCTTCTGCAGGCTTCTTCCTCTTAGGCCTCAGAGAGTATTTGGGGAGGGTCTGTTTGATGACTCTCACCATGGGCTCTGCTTATCTTCAGGCTTCCTGAGTGCCCTGTACACCTTTGGGTCCCACCACCTCGCTGGACAGCAGGGCTCTCCGTGGGGCCCACAGGACCTTGGACACGTCTACAGGAAGCCCTGTCAGCAGCTGCAGCTGAGGGTGAGTTCCTGTGTTTTAAAAATGTTTATTTATTATTTGCCACACCACAGACATGCAGGATCTTAGTTCCCTGGCCAGGGATTGAACCCTCGCCCCCTGCGTTGGAAGTATGGAGTCTTAACCACTGGAACCCCAGGGAAGTCCCAGAGGATGAGTTTACTGTTGAGAAATAGAGCCGTGAGAGCCTAGCAGACCAGGTAAAAGACTCTCTGGTCCAGGAGATGGGAATTTGGGACAAAAATCCCCTTCTGAAGGAGTCACCTAGGATCCAGACCTCTTGCCAGAGCAAAGATTCCTACGTAACAGGAAATATCATCATCCCTGAGCCAGAAGTTTAGCAAGACTCAAACTGTTGTCTCTCCTTCCAGGGACCCTCCATGGCTACATGGTGGGAGAAGGGTTGGCCCCAAGATTCAGAGAGACAGGCAGAAGTGAAAGGGGAGGCAGGGAAGGCCATGTTCTCTCATGTGATAGGTATGTTCTCTCAGGGGAAGGGGACATTTGTCCAGCCCAGTGCATTCTGCCATCTTGTAGTGTGGCATGTGGCCAGCCCACTCCCTTATTTTTTTCTGGCCCTGTCTGGACTCTTAGCTGCATAGCCATGGAGACCAGGCTGAGGCTGAGTAGCCAAGTCCAGGCAGGTGAGGGAGGGAGTGTAGTGGCCCAAAGCTGGATTAACTGCCCCAAGCCTTTCCTGACAGCTCAATTCCTAATGGAGAGTTCAGTTCTCTCAGAGAACCCCGTCCCCTTTTCGAACCCTCCTGTGACTTCCCTCATAATGAAAAAAGGCAGTGGGAAAATGAATGAAATATGTAAACAATGAAATGCATATGTGTTACAGTTACAGATTAGAGTAAGAAACATCTGACACCCAAATCGAGCCACTAATAATATTTTATTGTATTTCATACCAAAAGTTTTTCTACATATATATTTCTTAAATAACGGGATTGTGGGGTTTTTTTGTTTTTTAAAACTTGAGATGTAACTTACATAGAGAATAACGTGTAGCTTTATGAATTTTTCCATATATGCACCCTCATGTACTCACAGCCCAGATCATGATAGAGGATATTTCCAGCTCCTCAAAGGCTTCCCCACTTCTCCCAAGCAGCGCCTGCCCAAAGCCATCACTTAGGTCAGGGTTGCCTGTTTCTGAACTTCATATAAATGAAATTGAAACAAGTTGATCATACCTTGTTTTTTAACTGCTTTTTTGACTTACAGGTATAACTTGATTAATATATTATTTAAGCAAAGAAGTATCTGTATTTAACATTCAAGAAAATCACTTTTTATTTCTTCTGTAGGAGAGACAGGAATCTAAATAGTTCATCTTAATACCATTGAGACAAATTTGTTGTATCTTGTGAACAGGGTGTTCCTTAACAAAAGACACATAAGGGAGCTTTCTGGGTGATGGCAATGTTCCATATCCTGATTGTGTGGTGATTACATGAGTGAATAATTTGTCAAAACTTATCGAACTGTACAGTTAGAATGGGTTCATTTATTATGTGTAAATTATACCTCAGTAAAGAAAAAACATTTTTTAAGACACAGTAAGCTCATTGCTCAGTCTCTTCCACTGCTGATACGATAGTTAAATGACACTTTCACACTAACCATGCTTTATGACTTATGCTTTATGACCTGTACAGTATTTCAGTGCATTTAATGGATATTTATTGTCCATTAAGAGAAAAGTAAAACATTAACTCACTTAGCACTGTAGTGTTAGGAATTTTTCCATATATGTACCCTCATGTACCCACCACCCAGATCATGATAGAGAATATTTCCTGCACTTTAGAATTATTCTCTTTTTCAAAAGATGATATGTCAGTAGTTCATGAGAAAGAACTTCTGTAAAACAAAGCAAGGAAAATGTATTCATTTGGAAACAATTTTTTCCTTAAAACTAGTGTCTCCTGCCAATCACTAAACTCATTGGAAGCTGTTCACTTTCCTTGAAAGGAGAAACTCATAATTTTATTCACATTCTTTCAGAGGTTCAGAAGGGCTTCTAGAATTTCCTCCTCTCAGAGAATCTTTATTTTTTCTTAGTAACAACTTGAACAATTCCTCATCAACACTATTGGAATATATAAGTAATGCAAACAACAATTTTTACCAACATTATTAAGATATTGTATAAAATTCTTCCTAGCTTTTGAATAATTTAGTAGGTCTGGACCTTAGGTGACCTTGAGGCCTCAGTCTTCATCCTGAGGTAGTTTGACCCAATGAACCCTCTGTATTATTAACATTTGGCATGCCTAGGCTATTTTACCAAGAAAGTTTACCTCCACTTGTCCAATTAGGACGAGTATTATCTCAGTTCGAGGATGATAATATTATAGGAATTTCACCTTCAGTGCTAAGCTCACCATGTGGGCAAACTTAATATTTAGGGACACTGAAGTCCTTTTATACTTATGTGACATTTGGAATAAATCATTTTTAAATTCTCAGGCTTACTTGACACATAAAAGTATAAAATTAAGTAAAGTCTGTTCTTCCAGCCGTGGCCAGTTCTTCTCAGTCTCCTCTGGTTAATTTTCTTTATCTCAGAATTGACGAACTGTAAGAATAGGGAAGTCACTGATTAGTGTCGGAGGGATTATTCATGATTATGTAAAGAAACCTCAGGACGGTAATTTGCTAGACGTGCTTTTACAGGAGAGAACATCAGGATAGTCAAATGGTGTGAATGTCACTATACTCAGGAAAAGCTCTTCTCTGTCTTGTAGGAAAATTAGTCTCTTCTTTTTGCAAAGGAGAGATACTAGTTGCTCTGTTTTAAAGGTTGTCCTCCTAGACTGTTTCTCAGTGGGCAAAGCCTGGATCTGGGGGGAATCAGCTGTGGGGTTGACAAAGTTGGAGTTGTCAGCCATCAGGGCCACAACTCAAGAATGCCAATCAGGAGACAAACTCTTGTAGCCCCACAATGGTGGGATGGTTTTCCTGCCCTCAAAGGCGTGAATCAGTTCTGGTGGATGTAAGACTTATTTCGTCTGAGCCTTGCCTTTTGCTTTTTGCCTTTCTTTTCCTTTTCTCTTTTACTGAGGTATAAAATACATAGAGCAAAATGTACAAATCATAAATATACAACTTGATGAATTTTTAAAATACATATACACACTCATTTAACCACCACTTAGATCAACATTTCCATCACCTTAGAGCTGGGGTTGGCAAACTCTAGCCCACTAGCCAAATATGGCCTGCCATCTGTGTTTGTAATTAGTTTTATTGGAATACAGCCACACTCATTCATTTACATATTATTGTCTACGGCTGCTTTTGTGCTACAACAGCAGAATTGAGTAGTTGTGGAAAACTCCATATGACCCCCAAAACCTAAAATATTTACTGTCTGGTCCTTTAAATGAAAAGTTTGCTGACCTACCTTAGAAGGCTGCTTTCTGCCCCATCTCAGTGACTCATTCCCTTCCCGCATTCTGACTCTGTCACCATATTATTCGTTTTACCCATTCTGGAACTTTCTAGAAATGGAATTATACAGTATATTCCCTCCTATGTTTGACATCTTTCATTTGGCATAATGCCTGTGAGATTTATGCATGTTGTTGCATGGATGTCAGCAGTTCATTCCTTTTTATTATTGAATAGTATTTCATTGTATGGATGCATCACAATTTATCTCGTTCTCCTGGGCAGTTTCTAGTTTTGACTCACTATGATCAAAGCTGCTATGAACATTCTTACATTAATACAAGTCTTAGTTGAACAATATTCATGTATTTCTCTAGTATTTCTCTAGTATATATCCAGGAATGGAACTGTGTTCAGCTTCAGTAGATATGGCCAAATGGTTTTCCAAAATGGTTGAACCAAATTACAGTCCCCTCAGTCATGTGTGAGAGCTCTTGTTGCTTCTGGATGTGGATTTTCAATTCCAGGCTGTAGATTATTGGCAAAGTATATTCAGGCCTATTTATAAGGTTTCTCACTACTGTGAGTGAAAAGCTTAGAACATTCTTAATCAATGTTTGGTACAAATTTAGTTCCATATTTCCTAATACGGTGGATGTTTGTTCTCATCTGTTAAAAATTATTTTTTAGAGAATTCCCTGGGGTCCAGTGGTTAGGACTCAGCGCTTTCACTGCAGTGGCCCAGGTTCAATCCCTGGTCAGAGAACTAAGGTCTGGCAAGCTGCACAATGCGGCCGAAAAAAAAAATATTTTTTAATGACAATACTTAATAAACTGCTGGGTGAATAACAAGGTTTAGCCTTTCAGTAATTATTTGTACCATACTTTAAGTAACTATTAGTTTTATTAATGTTACACAGTTATTTTACTTTGCTTTGAGTTTTTTATGTAATATTTTCATTACAGATATAGAAGCCCCTTTTCCAGAATATACTTGAGGCCAGTTATTTAAGTTTTAAGGATTTTGTTTTTTAATAACTTTCAGTTCTTACTTGGTAGCAACTTTCGTTTCCTGGTAAGTCTCTTCTGTGCATCCACATTCTGAATTGAATGGCAACATTTTTTTCTTCTACCCCAGTGATCTAAAGCATGGGTTTTTGTCCAAGATTTACAGGGAATTTGCAAGTTCTAAAACAAGCTTGGTCCCTCACAGCTCTGTTCTCTTTCTCCATCCTCCTCCCCAACCCTCCATCTCTGTCTTCACAGGCCGCAGATCTTTTTCCAAGAACAACAGAAAATGATCGAGTACCAGGTAAGTGTGACATTAACGAGCCAACTTTCGGGACTTCCTTGGTGGTCCAGTGGTTAAGACTCCATGCTTCCAATGCAGGGGGTGCGGGTTCGATCCCTGGTCGGGGAACTAAGATCCCACATGCCGCACGGTGTGGCCAAAAAACAAAAAAATGAGCCTACTTTCCCTTCTTGGGGAAACTGTTCTAGAAAAAAATATATGCATTTCAACCACATATGCCTTGTCATAGGCTGGATTCTCAGGAAAACAAACTTGGGGATGGAAATTTGCACACAGAAGGTTTACTAGGGAGGCTCTTGGAACACCTGTAAGTCAGTGAAGGAAGCAAGGTGGGCAGAGGGAGTTGTTGAACAGAGACATCAGCTGATCTTATAAGATGCTCTGGAGCTGGGATGGTCCTCAGTGTTGTCCTGAATGGAGGCAAGGAGGCCTTTGTATTCTGAAATCAACCAGTCATTGGTTGTAGGCTGCCCCAGGGAGGGGACATAAACTTGGGTGGGGTCGCTCCCTTTGGCCAAGGGAAATTCTCTAAAGGTTTCACGCCGGCAACAGCCAGCCATCTCCTAGCAGCTGGGAGAAGAACCTCAGTACTGCAGGGAGATTTGGGTGGAATACCACAGCCTCTCTATACACATAGACACAATGGCCAGATACTTATTACACATACTACTCTACCCTTTTTTCCCAATTAAAATATCCTAGAGATTGTACCATGTTAGTACTAAGAACCATGCCTTTTTTTAAAAAATAATGTACATAATGCTCCATCATATGCATGGAATACTTAACCCATCCCCCATATTATGGACATTTCGGTAGTTTCCAAATTTGATATTTTAAGCAATGATGCAAGGAACATTCTTTGTTGGAATACAGATGTACAAGGGGAGAGTCCAGTGAGAGTCAACTGTTGACTTCCTGGTAGCCCAGCAAAAAGGCAAACACAGCCCATGACTTGCATTGGCTATAAGGAAGAAGTGTATTGTTATTTCCAAGAGAAAACTAGCTTTCCAGGGCACTTCTTTTTTAAGAAGTGTCTTAGACATTGATGTTCCTGTGGGTTTGAACCTTCTCTGGGGCCTCTGGGGGTGGTTTCGTCCACTCTTAGGTTGATGCTGGTGCGTCTGCAAGTGACTCCCACATCTATACCTAAGCTGAGGCCTCCTCTGAGAGCTTCAGACCCCTTTGCCCAACATCTGCACCTGGCTGCCCCAGAGCACTTCAGATTTAATGTGTACAAAGTTGAACTCTTGATTTCTGTCTCCTCTTCCCTGTTTCTCATCTCAGGAGATGATACCATCCCACCAGGCAAGCCAAGACCCTGAGATTTTCCCTTGACTTCTCCCCACCTTCCACCTCTCACACTCAGTCACCAAGTCTTGCTGATTTTACAGCCTCAGTGTTTCTTCCATCTCTCTCCTCTTCATCCCTGTGTTTGGTGAAAAAGACATGGCCTTTTAGGTGCAGGATTACGTCTTTTCTGCTTTGCTCTGTTCTATTCCCTCCCATTCTGTTTCATCCTATCCTATCCCACTCCACCCCATCCCATCCCATTCCAGTTAGCTCTTTTTGGGAAATACTGCCCAGAACCTGTTGCCGAGCCAAGTCCTGTGCTCTGTGATGAAGGCTGACTGCTGCTCACGCACTACCACAGTACGTTGTTCTGGCATCAGAGAGGGAGTCTAGTTGGACCTCCTTTGCATGGGTCTTAGGGTCTCACGTGCCAGCTTCCATGGCCTCCACCCTGGTTTTGGCCCTGCCTTCAGATCCATCTGCCTGGGCCACTACTCAAGTGCTACTGTTGCAGGAAAAAAGAGCGGGGTACGAGAGGGTGGTCACATCCCAGGTCTCAGGTGAGTCCCTGGGACGGCTGTCAAGTGTGGGTTCTTGGCTTCGCGCAGGAAAGAATTCAAGAGCAAGCCACAGTAAAGTGAAAGGAGGTTTATTCAGGGAGATACACACTCCACAGACAGAGTGTGGGCCATCTCAGGAGGCGAGAAGCACCAGGGTATGTACGGGGACTGTCAGTTTTTATAGGGGTGGGTAATCTCATAGGCTAGTAAGTGGGAGGATTATTCCAACTATTTTAGGGAAGGGGCAGAGATTACCAGGAATTGGGCCACCACCCACTTTTTGGCCTTTTATGGTCCACCTTGGAACTGTTAATGGCACCTATGGGTGTGTCATTTAGCTTGCTGTTGTATTACAATAAGCATATACTGAGGTATACTGAGGCTCAAGGTCTAGTGGAAATCAGTCATCCACCATCTTGGACCTAGTTGGTTCTAACCAGTTTATGTCGTGTCCCCAATGGCTGTCATTCTTTTAAAGGTTGTGCCCTGCCCCCTTCCTGTCTCACCACCTTAGGACCCAGCATTCTTCAAGGAAACCTACAGCCTCCTGAGAGTGGAGAGTGGCTGCTCTCAGCCCTTTCACCTCTGTGGGGCCCTATCAGTGCTTTTTCCCTCCGGCCACTCCCAGAGATAGTGGGCCAGTGCCACTGGCACTGTGTGGTGCACTAGGGCTCTCCACCCCACTGACACCCAGGCACAGGTCCTGGGTGCCCCCCCCACCTTTTTTTCTGTCCTTTAGAATTGTTTTCCCATTCTTAACAGATTTTTAAATAATGATTTACAATCTTTTTCTACTTAAAATAGGTGCTTTTATATTGTGCTGTCATATGCCAGGCACAGTTTATAAAGGCTTTACACATGTTAACTCATTTAAACCTCATAATATAATAACTAAGAGACACACACTATTATTATCTCCATTTAACAGATGAGAAAACTGAGGCACAGAGAGGTTAAAGAGCTTTCCTAGGGTCGCTCATTTAGTGGCTGAGCCTGTATTTGAACTCGAGCAGTCCTGCCCCAAAGTTCATACTTTTAACTGATCTGCTCCATTGCCTCTTGCGTCTGTCAGTGACTGTAAAGCAGTGGACAGCAGTCCACAAAACCACCCTCACTTCTGACAGCAACTGTGAGTTTAGAGGTTCCCAAGACCCTCGGGTTTGATAATTCGCTAGGAAGACTCACAGAATATTATATTCACAGTTAGGGTTCATTACAGCAGACGTATATGGATTAGAATCAGCCGAGAAAAGAGACACTTGGGGCAGAGTCCAGGAGAATTCCACACACAGGACTTCCATGTGTCCTCTCCCAGTGAGTGTGGACAGTGCAAAATTCTCCAGCAACCATGTGTGACAATACAGAGTATTGCCAGCCAGGGAAGCTCACCTAAGCCTTGGTGTCCAGAGTTTTCTTTGGGGGTTGGTAAACTAGACATGACTGACTGCTGACTTCAGTTTCCAGCCCCTCTGGAGGTTGAGCTGATTGATGTCTGTGAGCCAAAGCTTCCCCTCAAAATCATGTTGTTAGACTATCTGGTGTGGCCCAAGGACCCCAGGTAAACAGAGACACTCTTACCTAGGAGGATGTTACAGGGGCTCAGAGATTAACTTCTAGGAACTGAGGGCAAAGGTCAGACCTCTCCTTGGGCAAGGTTAAATTCTCTACTATACAGTCACTTGAAGATAATATCTTAGGTACTAAAGAAAAAACTGTTTACTCACAGGAGTAGAAGAAGTTTTTTCCCCACACCAAACAATTCTCCAATTCTATGCAGACCCTACAAGTTAGGGGGTCAGTCTTACAAGACTGCCTCCCACTTCAGATGCCTATTTGATATCCCAGGTTGTCACCTGAACTTCTGAGTAGCCAGCTATAAATTGGGGGTTCCCATGACCCCCTCTTCAGTTTTGATAATTTGCTATAACTCACAGAACTCATGGAAACACTTTACTTACTATTACAGGTTTATTATAAAGGATATTATAGAGGATACAAATGAACAACCAGATAAAGAGGTACGTAGGGTAAGGTACAGAAGGGTCCTGAACACAGGAGCTTCTGTCCCCATGGAGTTTGGGGTGCACACCCTCCTGGCTGTGTTCACAAACCTGGAAGCTCTCCAGGGTTTTTAATGGAGATTCCATTATTTAGGCATAATTGATTAAATTATTGGCCTTTGGTGATTAGCTCAATCTCAAATCCCTCTCCCCTCCCCAGAGATTGGGCAGTGTATGGCTACACGTTCCAACCATCTAATACCTGGGTGGTTCCTCTGGCAACCAGCCCCCATCCTCAAAGAGTTATATCATTAGTATAAACCCTGAGATGATTGACACGGGCTTGTTACTACTAATAAAAGACACTCCTTTTATTACTTCTGTCGCTCTGGAAGTTACAAAGGTTTAAGAAGCTCTGCACCAGGAATCAGGCAAGAAGATCAAATATATATATATATCTTTATTTATTTATTTATTTATTATTTTTGGCTGAGTTGGGTCTTCATTGCTGCGCACGGGCTTTTCTCTAGTTGCGGCCAGCGGGGGCTACTCTTCGTTGCGGTGCACAGGCTTCTCATTGTGGTGGCTTCTCTTGCAGAGCACGGGCTCTAGAGCACGGGGGCTTCAGTAGTTGCGCCACGTAGGCTCAGTAGTTGTGGCTCATGGGCTCTAGAGCACAGGCGCAGTAGTTGTGGTGCATAGGCTTAGTTGCTCTGCGACATGTGGGATCTTCCCGGACCAGGGCTCAAACCTGTGTCCCCTGCATTGTTGGCAGGCGGATTCTTAACTACTGCGCCACCAGGGAAGCCCTATATTAATATATCACAATATCACAGATGCCTTCTTAGGTTAGTACCTGTGGGTCTTTCAGCAGCTATCTGGTTCCGGGGCACTGGGCTCTTTGGAGAATTTGTTCTCTGTGCCCTAAACCAGAGGACTGACTGCCCGGACAGTGTAATCTGAGGCTTGCCAGGCTTTGGAGTCTCCTTTCCAAACTTCCTCCTCTGGGTCTCCAGCTGGACTCTTCTGCCATTGGCCTCTTGTGTTTTAGTGTCCCTTGGGGCTCTGGCCTGGGTATCTGCTCATCCTGTCTCCTTGCTGAGAGAGACCACACTGTGTGACAACTTTAGCTACCACTTCTGTGCTGATGGCTCACACAGCTTTAGCTCCGTTCCTGTTCTTGTTCCTGACATGACTCATGTCCATCCTGCTGCCTGCCGAGTGTCTCCCCCTTTGTGTCCCCAACACACCACGTCCTCTTTGCTTTTGCAGTTTTTTCTCAGCTGCAGTTGAGATTGGTGACCAGTGTCACCCAGTTGCCTTTGAGATACCACAAAGGTAAGGGTTTTACCCTTACACCTTCTTCACACCCCACAACCAGTTAAGGTACAGGTTCTGCTCTTCTTTACATTGGTCCTTCTCTATCTCACTGTTTCCGTCTTACTTGTGAGCATCATCTTCCACCTAGGTTAGTACAGAGTCTTTCCTTTCTTCTCGCTCCAGGTCACCCACCACATTTCTCTTTCCATCCATTCACTTTCAAACTATCTGTGAGTTCTGTATCTCTTGTAGGCAGTATTACTTTTTTTTGTTTTGCAGTACGCGGGCCTCTCACTGCCGTAGCCTCTCCCGTTGCGGAGCACAGGCTCCGGACGCGCAGGCTCAGCGGCCACGGCTCACGGGCCCAGCCGCTCCGCAGCATGTGGGATCTTCCCGGACTGGGGCACGAACCTGTGTCCCCTGCACCGGCAGGCGGACTCTCAACCACTGCGCCACCAGGGAAGCCTGGCAGTATTACTTTTTTATCCAGTCTAACAATCTCTGCCTTTTTGGAGTGTTTAATCATGTCTTAAATAACCTTATAATTTAATATAGTTTAATGTAATTATTGGTAGGATTGGCTCTATATCTTTTTAGCATTTAGTTTTCTATTTGTCCCATCTGCTTTTGCTTTGTTTCTTTTCTCTTGTGTGTGTGTTTTTGTGCGGATTAACTGAATAGTTTTTAGAATTTTATTTACTTCAATACACCTCTTTGCACTGAGTTTAGTGATTACTCTAGGGAACAATGTCCCTCCTTAACTTTTCACAGTCTGCTTAGAGTTACCATTGTACAGCTTGACACAGAATGTAAGAAGCTCACCACATGCCTTCTAGAGTGTGCTTTCTACACACCCCACTCCCTTGATAGATTTCTCATTGTCTTAAAGTCCATCATTTCATCACTCACAGGCCTCTGTACTCTCTCCTGTAACTGAGTGACTTGCCATCCTTAAAGTCACTGTTTGGCCCCCGTGCCTTTGTTCATGCTGCTCCCTCTGCAAGGAAGGCAGTTTTTCCATCTCTGCAGAGAAGATTCAGCTGCACATATCCCTTAGCTCTGAAGCCTAACTAGACCCTGATAATTTTAGTGGACCATTCACTTCTCTGCATGCCATAGCCCAGATGTCCTGCTGTCACAGCTCTTACCCTTTCACCCTGAGGGCCTTACATATTGCTCTCCCTGCCAGGCTGTGAGCTCCTTGAGGTCAGGTGCCACCCATGACTGTGTCCCCAGCAACCAGGACTGGGTCAGACACAGTCTTCAGTCAATATGTGTTGACCCAAATATAAATGACAGTGGCTTCCAATCCCATCATATATAGTCCAAAGCCAGGAATATAAAAGGCGTCCTAGATAAATGATCATAATAATCTCTGACCTATGAACATTATAAAAAGTCAGAACCATCCACCTCTGCCTACACTTTCCCCACATGACTCAGTGTCATTTCATCTTCAGCAGAGACCTGTGTCATTCAAGGATGTGGTCGTGGGCTTCACTCAAGAGGAGTGGCATAGGCTGAATCCTGCTCAGAGGGCCCTATACCGGGATGTGATGCTGGAGACCTACAGCAACCTCGTCTCAGTGGGTAAGAACAGCTCTGCCACACAATCTAGATTATGCTTGAATGACCACCTTTCCTTTTTCAGTTGCTAAAAGTAACTGAAGTACCTAGAACCTCTGAAGTACCAAATACTTTCTATGTCTCAGACACTGTTGTAGCCACTTTTAAAATATTAGCTCATGTAATCCTCATAAGAGCCTTATATGGTAGGTACTGTTAGTACCACTATTTTACACATTTGGGAACTGAGGCAGAGAAGGTGAAGTAACTTGCCCAGTGTCACCCATGCAGTACATAGCACAGCCAGAGCGGGATTTGAACCCCAGCAGTCTGGCTGCACAGTGTGTATTCCTAACCCTTATACTGTGTGCTTCAGTGAGCTTGGCTTGAGTTTCAGTGGTCCTGGATTACTGCTTCCTTTTGAGTTCTGGACAAAGTGTGTGTACAGTCTCCTCCCAAGTACAGTGTCTGTTGTGTAGCCTTTAATGCTGCCTGAGAAGACCAAGGAGCTCAGTCCAAGGCCTGGATCATTTCCCTGGAACAGGTTATGAAGGCACCAAACCATATGTGATCCTCAGGCTGGAGCAGGAAGAAGCACCATGGATTTGTGAGGCATCATGCTCGGGCTGCCACTGTCGGGGTAAGTATGATAAATCCAGCAAAAGACATACTAAGGGAGGCTGGCACCTTTGGGATTTTGTTCAGGGTCCAGCTTTTAAAAGCCTTAGAGCTTTGAAAGCCACTGGAGACATTTCTCTGAGAGCTTCAGCCTTCTTGGTAACCCTTCAGCCTCCATGCATCCCACCTCCCTGTGTGCTTGCTCCATCTCCTTTTCTCCAGAATCCTTGGCCTCTCTCTTGAGGTTATCAGTACACTTTCTCTTTCACATTCAGGCATTCTTACAAATAAGCTTCTGTGATTCTCTTGTTCTTGCCGATTCCTTCCTATTCTCTATTCTAACAGTTTTTGGGTAAAATGCCCCAGACCTGCCTGCCATACTCAGAGTCTCACTTCCTATCCTTTCCTTAATCCCTTAAGTTATCCCTGAGTCGCTTAATTTCCTGAGTCACAGACGAGGAAGCAGTGAATTCCAGGAAGTGGACAGGGACAGTTGGGTAGTGAAGGAGACGCCTGAGTTTGGACTGTCTTAACCACTTCTATTTAATTTTCAGAATAACTGCCCCTCTCCCATCAGCTGTATAAAATATCTCAACAATAATCTCTGGTATCCTGAGTGTTGGTAACCTACTCTTTAGAATGCCTCTGGACTTCTGCTTCTCCAGTAGAGTCATGAGTTTAGCAAGAAGAGTCAGTGCCATCTGTTTCTGGATCTCTTTATGCCATTTGTACTTAGTGTTATAATCACATGATTGAATTAAATATTATATAAACCCCAAAAACATCCAAGTCATTTCATGCTTCTCCCCAAAATAATGTCTTTGAGATTACCACCATCCAGCTTTCACTGGTTGTAGTAGTAGCAGCAATATCATTAGAATTTCTGGCCAACACTCAGTGTGTGCTCATTTTGTGCCAGGTCTGTCCTCAGTCCTTTACATATATCAATTCATTCAACCCTTACAATACCTGTGAGGTGTTTATTACCAGCCTTTATTCCCCCATTTACAAATGAGCAAACAATCACAGAAAGGTTAAGAAACTTGTCTAAGAACATATAACAAAGTAAGGGACCAAATGGGGATTTGAACCCAGGTGGTCAGGCTCTAGAACCAGTATTTTTTTTTATAATTTTTTGGCCATGCCACGCAGCATGTGGGATCTTAGTTCCCCGACCAGGGATCGAACCCGCTCCCCCTGCAGTGGAAGTGCAGAGTCTTAACACTGGACTGCCAGGGAAGTCCCTAGAACCAGTATTCTTAACCATCACACTCTGGTGCCCTCTGAGGTGAATTTTGCTTCATGAAACTGCTCGTCAACCTTCCTGAAACCATTGTAACCTGGCTATCAACGGCTTTTCTTTTCCCTCTTTCAAGAATTTTATATAATAACTGCCAAAAAATAGTATCCAGTCAGCCCTCCTTTCTAAGTTCTCTGTATCCTCTATTTCCCTGGCTGCAGCCCAGCCTTTTCCTTCCAAGGGACTACTGCATTTTCTGTTTTCCAAACTTGATTCTCTTCTCAATGGTGTAACTCCCTAAAGAAGTCATCCGTTCTGAGACCATATGTTGCTCACAACCGGCCTCTTTGACATTTTGCCACCTTTTGTCCGCCTTGTACCACCTAGGCTCCCCTACCCTCCATTTTACCAGTCTGGATCATCTCCACAGTTATGTCCACTTATCCCTGTTTTTTGTCGAGCAAGAACTGAAGTCATCCTCTTTTTTACTTGCTACCTCCCCTCCACCCCACATGCACACAAGTGCATGCATATATATACCTCACCTTCTCATTCCAGAGTTTTGCTACCATGAGCTCATTTTGAAGCTTCTGTCTCTGTCACCCTAATTGTTCTATGCTTATGTGCTAGTTTTGTTGGTTTTCCTTTGAGAAATTACTTTAAATCTTCCTGTCTACTTTTCATTTCCCACTGACATCTCCTAAAATTGGACCCAAATTACCTCATGCCTGAATGTCTTTAAGTTAGGGGTTCTTAATCATTTTTGTGCCATGGAACTCTTAACCATTCTGGTAAAGCCTAATAGACCCCTTTTTTACATATTGAAAAAAAATAAAACCCATAAGATTACATGAGATACAAATTACTAAAATACAGTAATTACTAAAATAAAGTTAGAAAATGCAATATCAAAACATTAATGATGTTAATGATATTAATGATAATAGTAGATATACTTCCTTATTTATATATTAAATTATGAGATCTCCCATCAGGTCAAATAATTGTCATGATCTCAAAGTAGAGATGATTGTAAACATATTTTGAGAAATCTGTGACAACTATAGTGTGACATGAAAATACCTTATTCACAAACTAGGACAGTTACAGGAGCTAATACTACTGTGTTTTGTTGTTCACATTCATAATCAAAAGAAATGCTCAGTTGTAGTTAGGACAGATTTCTATATACCAAGTTAAGAGTTCCTGCTTTAAATTCTAGTTAGCTTCGTTGATTCCTTCTTTTATCTAGTTCATCTTAGAGCCCTTGCCATTTATATTATTACTAACTAGCTCAACATAAACTCTCTGCTGTAACAGTGCTTGTCAAACTCTTAATATGATAACGAAGCATCTGGGCAACTTGTTAAAATACAGATTCTGATTCTGTAGGTTTGGGGGTGGGGCCCAAGATTCTGCATATCTGCCTACATATCAGTTCTCAGATGAGGCTGATGCTGACCATTGAGAACCATGCATTGGGTAACAAGGTGCTTTATGACATTTAAACCCCTTTCCTCTGTAACAGGGATCAGCAAACTTTGGTCTATAGGTCAGCCACCTAATTTTGTGCATAAAGTTTTATTGGAACACAGCTGCACCCTCCTTACATTTACATACTGGCTGTGTTCTCACCATACAATGGGAGAGTTAAGTAATTGTGACCGAGACCATATATCCCACAAAGCCTAAACTAGTCGCTGGTCCTTTAAGAACATGTTTGCCAACCACTGCTCTATAATATTTTCTCATCTTCAAAATTATTTCTCTCTATCATCTATGACATGTTTCATTACATTTGTGCCAGTTTCTGAATCTTCTATACTCGTATAATACTTTTCCCTGCATTGGTGCCTTTAGTTCTGATTCATGCTCTCTATTCATATACTGTGCACCCTTTAAATTTTTAGGGCATTTCTCAAATAGTTTTATTCCAGGTCATAATAACAGATTCATAAGGAAAGGTTTGCTGTACCTTCTCCAGAAAACATTTGGCAAGGTAACGTCCAGAAGAAAAGACGGCAAGACATGCTTTTGAGGCAAGGTACATTCATCAGCAAGAAAACGTTGCCCAAGGAAAGAAGCCATGAATATAATAAGTTTGGGAAAATATCACATCTGAGCACTGATCTTTTTCCTTCAATTCAAAACCCTAATAACTGGGACGCTTGTGGAAAGAGTGTGAACCATAATTTAGACTTGAATGGTTTTAAGAGAAACTATTCAAAAAAGCAAGATGAGTGCTATGGATATGGGAAATTATTACAACATACAAAGCATGATAGAAGACCTAATGGAGAAAAATTCTGGGAATGCAGTCACTGTGAGAAAGCTTTCAGCCATAACCCAGCACTTATGTATAAACCAGCAGTAACCAATTCCCTTGTGTACAAACGGAAGAGGGTTCCACCTACAGAGAAACCCCATGTTTGTACTGAGTGTGGGAAAGCCTTCTGCTACAAGTCTGAATTCATTAGGCATCAAAGAAGTCACACTGGGGAGAAGCCATATGGATGCACTGACTGTGGAAAAGCCTTTTCACATAAGTCAACCCTTATTAAACACCAGAGAATACACACTGGGATAAGACCCTTTGAGTGTTTTTTTTGTGGGAAAGCCTTCACCCAGAAGTCTCACCGCAGAGAACATCAGAGGACACATACAGGAGAGAGACCCTTTGTGTGCAATGAATGTGGGAAGTCATTTGGTGAGAAGTCATACCTCAATGTACATCAAAAAATACACACAGGAGAAAGACCCTATCGTTGCAGAGAATGTGGAAAATCCTTCAGTCAAAAGTCATGCCTCAATAAACATTGGAGAACTCATACTGGAGAAAAACCCTATGGATGCAACGAATGTGGCAAAGCTTTCTACCAGAAGCCAAACCTCAGCAGACATCAGAAAGTTCATGCTAGGAAGAATGCTTATAGGAATGAAAACCTAAAAATTGTAGAAAAACCTTGAGCAAGATATCCTATTTCATTATATGTGGAGGAATTCATCCTTAGGAGAAATCTCATTGATCTAATGACCAAGTGTTTTATCATAAGGCAAGTCATGCTCCAATTGTGACAGAAAATTTTATACTAAAGATTATAGAAAATATTTTATAAAACATAAACCTGTTCATTCTGGCTTATGAAAGTTTAAATGATAACAGAATACAAAATATATGTGAAGAAAATTAGAGGTATATTATGGTATGTCCCACAGTGAGCCACATAATAAGCACTATTTATATTTTAGAATTATAAATGTGAATTTAATAAATTATGAATATCAAGCACATATGTAGAATGCCATTCACCAAACTTTTTTACTCTAAATATCACCATTGTCTTTTGGTGTCTAACAATGCAAAAAACAATAATAGTAATAATAATAATAATAATATGGCCAACTACTTTTTAAAAAAGCTTTAACATATTAAACCAGCACATTTTCTCCACCTTTTCTAGCACAACTGGCTTTTTAATCAGGAAGAAAGTAAAGTTGAACGAACAGCACAAACCATACAAAAAAAAAAATTGGAGGCGGACTTAAGATTTAAAATTTTAAAATAACAATAAAATTCTTGAAAGAAAATGAAAGGAGACTACATGTACAATCTAGGAATTGGGGGAGATTAACTTTACCAACCCAGGACACTCAAAAGCTGTTAAAAAATAAATATTTGACTACATAAAAAGTGCAATCTTTTGCATGGCAAAAGATGCCATCAACAGTCAATAAACAACGATTTGGGGGAAAATATTTGCAGAGCCAGTCAGAGAAAGAGTGGTCTTCGTACTGACAGGAAAAAAATAACCCAATAGCAAAACATGGCAAAGAATGAATAGACAGTTGAGAGAAGAGCAAATCCAGGTGGCTGATGGGCTTATCAAAAAAATGGTTAGCCTCAGTAGTTGTTGGAGAATGCAGATTAAAGTTATAATGAGATAACTGACAATCAAGCTGACGAAAAAGAGCAGGAATGCTTTTTGCTGTCAGGACAAAAGGTGTTCTTAAGACACTGCTGGTAGAAACATAAATTGTTACAGCTCTTTTGAAAAGCAATCTGACATCTATTATAACTTAAAATACTTATGCCACTTTGTGCAATCTTCTCTTAGAAGTAAAACCCCAATACATAAGGGACATGTACATTTATTGTGAATTGTTCCTAGTGGCAAAAAACACTAGAATCAAAATAAATGCCCATCAGCAGGGAAATTGGAAGAGGGAAGGAACTATAGTATATCCATTCCATAGGATGTTTATATAGCCATTAAGGTGGACAAGTTAAAACTATGCTAGTGGACCTGAATGGAATTCCACAATGTTTCCTTGAGAGAAAAAAGCAAGGTAGAAGTGTGTAAAATGACTCTGTTTTTGTAAATCAGTTACAAAATGCTTCTAGGTGCTTATGAGTGATAAACATGTATCATATATGTTTGTGTAAGATTTTATATGCATGGAGAAAAATATAGAAGAGTATACATTGGGTTCGGGGAAGGTGGGTGATGCAGGTGGATAATGGGGTAGTCAAGAGAAGGAAAATGAAAGCCCCAGAGAAAAATTATGTAAATAACTGAACCAAGTATGATATGTCAAATATGTGATTAAGAAATTTGAGGGGGAAGCTAGAACTCTACTAATTTGTGGAGATATTTGTGGTATATTGTTAAGTGAAAAGAGAACATTTCAGAATAATGTATATGAATCTATTTTTTTAATTAAAACACGTATATGTGTATTTATGCATGTGTGTGTTTATACGAACAAAGAGAACAGTGTGGAGGGACAGATATAAAACAAGATATTAACATTGGTTACCCTGGTGGGGAATGGAAATGTAAGTAGTTTTTAAATTTATATATCTTTGTATTGTTTTACTTGTTAACAAACATATATTACTTTTGTAATTTGAAAAACAAAATAAAGGGGGGAAGAGTGTTTTGAAATACATGGCCTTGCAAATGTTTTTATTTTCTGACAAGATGGCACTCTGGCCTGGTCTATTGCCTCTCCCCTAGCTCAGTCCTTGGGATATCACCAGAGTAAAAGAAAATGTGTAGATCTAAAGAGCAAAAGGCAATACTTTGAGAACCCCTCAAGTAAAGATTTTTTTGATTTTATTTTGAAATAATTTTTGACTTATAAAAAAGTTGCAAAACAGTTCCCAAATATTCTTCACACAGCTTCCCCTAATGTTAACATCTAATATAACCATAATACAATTATCAAAACCAGGAAATTAATATTGATATAATACTGGTAATTAAACTATAGCCCTTCCCACTGATGTCTTCATCTAGCCCAAGATCCAGTCCAGATCCCACATTGCATTTACCTGTTATTTCTCTTTAGTCTCCTCCAGACTATGATAGCTCCCCAGTCTTTTGTCTTTCATCACTTAGACACTTTTGAACAATACTGGCCAGTTATTTTGTAGAATATCCCTCAATTGGGGTTTGATTAACTGGGTTATGCATTAATATTACAGAAGTGATGCATCTTCAGTGCATCATATCAGAGGGTACATGATGGTGATAAATCTTATTGGTGATGTCAGCCTTGATCATTTGGTCAAGGTGCTCAATGTCAGATTTCCCCACTCTAAATCTGCCATTTCTGCCTTTGTAGTTAATAAATATCTTGGGCAAGACACTTTGCAGAGAATTTTTTTTAAAAACATATTGGCCCCAGTGATTCTGTTTGATTAGCTCTGGCAGAGGGTTCAAGCATCCTCAGTAATTCTGATGGTCAGACAAGGGTGGAGCTGTGGTATGGATCACACATCTAATCATTAGCCCTGAAACAAAGCATCCTCCTCACAGAACAGATGGTAATGAGAAAAAATTATGACATCTGTTAACACTGGTCTCTAGCTTTGGTAACCTAAGTGTGTTAGTTACCTAGTGCTACCTAACAAATTATCACAAATTTAGTAGCTTAAGCCAACCCACATTTGTTATCTCACAGTTTCTGTCAGTCCAGACACAGCTTAGCTGGGTCCTCTGGTTCAAGTCTCACAAGGCTACAGTCATGGTGTTGCCAAGAACAGTGGTTTCATCTGATCCTCAGCAAGAGAAGGAGCTGCTTCCAAGATCACATGGTTGTTGGCAGAATTCAATTCCTTGTGAATTGTTGGACTGAGGGCCTCCATTTCATGCTGGCTGTGGGCCAGAGGTTACCCTCAGTACCTTGTCACATGGGCATCTCCAAAGTCCAGCTCACAACACAGCAGCTTGCTTCAAATAAGGAGTCTGCTACCAATACAGAAGTTACACTCTTATGTAATATTATCATGCAAGTGACATCCTGTCACGTTTGCTGTATTCTGTTGGTTAGATGCAAGTCACAGTTCCCAGCCACATTCAAGGGGAAGAAATTACACAAGGGGGATTCCTCTTTCCAGACTTCCAGGAGGTAGAAGTCATTGCAGGCCATCTTAGAACCTACCCACCTCACCAGGGAAATAGATTTGAAAAGTAGGAAGGAGTCAGGAAGGCTAGTGCTGGAGCAGAGATCTGAGTGAGCCACAGATTCTGGATGTGCTTGTTGGGAGTTCTTGAACTCTAAATAGAAGTGCATCCTTTACCCACAAGTGCATTCTAAGTGCTTACCGTGAACCAGGCACTGTTCTTGGCATTGGGGATACATCAAACAGAAAGGAAAACTGATAATTGTCAATGAGCAAAAAGTAAATAGGGAAAGGGTATATAAAATAGTAGGAGCGTTGGGACTTCCCTGGTGGTCCAGTAGTTAAGATTCCGCACTTCCACTGCAGGGGGCGCAGGTTTGATCCCTGGTCAGGGAACTAAGATCCCACATGCCAAGTGGCGCAGCCAGAAAACCCAAAAACTAACTAACTAAATAAGTTAAATAGTAGGAGTGTTACAGAGCCCAAGCTCACTCTACTCACTGCAGGACAGGCCGGTAAATCAGGAGGTGAATTGTTCTGGCAAGGAATAACGACTTTAATTGGAAACCTAGCAGGCCAAGAAGATGGCAGACTAGAGTCTCAAAAAACCATCTTCCCTCAGTCCAAATTCGGTCTCCTTTTATACAGAGGAGGGGGAGGGGGAGAGGCCCACTGCGGTGCTGACTAATGGCTGAGCAGGACTGCTATAGGTCGTGCCTGCGCCTCCCCTATTACAGGAGGGGAGTGAAATTTTAGATACAGTAGCCGAGAAAGGCCTCCAAAGGGACCTCTGCATAAAGACCTGAAAGAAATGAGGGACCTAATAATGCACGTGTCCAAAAAAAAAAAACTATTCCGGGCAGAGGGAATAGCAAATGCAAAGACCCTAAAATAGGCAGTGTGCCTGGAATGTTGGAGACCAGCAAGGAAGGTGTACTCTCTATTGCCGAAAAAAAACTACCCCCAAAATTTACTGCCTTAAACCAACAATAAACAGTGTCTCACATAGTGACTATGGGTCAGGTTGGAAGCGCCGTTGGAGCTGCACTCCCCCTTACTGCAGCTTCTTTCCCCTTGCCCTGCCCTTTCCCAAACCTTTGTCCACCCAGGGCCTCTTTCCCAACCCCATCAAGCCAGAGCCCAAGTGCCTTTTGCACTTATTGGAAGGTACACCCTTGCCATGGCCTCTTCTGTGTAGGGACCCAGAAGCAGAATGTAAGATGCCTGGCACCTCCTCCAAAATGGTGGCGCCCAGGATGCCCTACCTTAACGCTAATAAAAACTGGTTGCAGGGCGCTGCCATCTTTCTTATGAGCGACAACAGGTTGATTAAGAGGAGACGCTGGCTGTTGTATTGATGCAGAAGTGGCAGCGCCAGAGCTGGAGTCCCTGAAGAAAGGATGGGAGCAGGTCGGTATCAGTCGCCTATCCTCCCTACAAGCAAAAACTGGGCCAGAAAAAGATTGGTGAATTGCCAGAAATATCCTTGATAATGGTTGCCCCCAGGGAGCCAATGGGCGCAGCTACCTGCTGCACCACCATAGACCCACCTGCAAAGACTGTACACAAATGTCTGTAGCAGCTTTATTTGTTATAGCCCAAAACAGGAAATAATCCAGTGTCCATCAATAGATGAATGAATAAACAAAGTATGGTATACAATGGAATGCTACTCAGCAATAAAAAGGAATAACTATTCATACAACAATATGGATGTCTCAAACTAATTATGCTGAGTGAAAGAAGCCAGATTTTTTTTTTTTTTCCTCCTCAGGGCGCAGCTTGCAGGATCTTAGTTCCCTGACCAGGGATCGAACCTTTGCCCCCGGCAGTGGAAGTGCTGAGTCTTAACCACTGGACGGCCAGGGAAGTCCCAAAAAGCGTACATTCTGTGTGATTCCGTTTATATGAAGCTCTATATAGAAAGCAGATCAGTGGTTGTTTAGGGGATGGAGTTTTGCCCGGTGTGGGAGGGAGAGTTACAAAGTAGCACAAGTAACCTTTTGGGGTGATGGGTATGATCAAATATTGGTTGTGATGGTTTTACGTGTGTATGTATATGTTGAAACTTATTACACTGTACACTTTAAATATGTGCAGTTTATTGTATGTCAATAACATCTCAATAAGTAACAGGGTAAGAAATAAATCTTTAAAACAATTATTTTACAATGAAATAAACAATTGTTATTTTAATATTTTATTTTAATTTTTAATATCTATATATTTGAATATTCGAAAGTATTCATGCATTTTACATACCTTAATTTGTGTAAAAAACCTGATCTTCAAAAAAAGTCCTATCACACATGTGAAGCATTAATGTGAAAATCGTCCCCCTGAATTTATTTAAAAACCATGTCTGCTTTCAAACTCTAAGTATAACCTATTACTGGCATATTTTAATGGTCTGAGAGGCTTTTTCATCAGGAGCCATCCTGATGTGGGACTTCAGATGCACTGTTTTTTCAGATATGTCTGGTAGGTGGGAAGGAGAGAGTTGGGGGAGGACCAGTTACATAATTTGTGGACCTAGGGCAAAATGAAAACGTGGGGCTTCTTGTTCAAAAATTACCACAAATTTCAAGACAGCAACAGCAGAGTGTTAAACCAAGTGTGGGACCTTCTGAGTGTGGGGCTGTCTGCAGCTATACAGGTTGCATGCCCATGAAGCCAGCCCTGGGTAGAGGGGAGTGTCCTGGGTAATCTGTTAAGACCTGAGTGAGTTGCCTTGCCATGGCAGTCACTGTGCGTGTTGATGCTTAAAATTCCCTGGGTCTCTTAGTGCAGGAGCAATGGAAGCGGAGGTCCTCCATTGGAAGTCAGTAAAAATGTCTTACACAAGAATCAGTTCCTCAGAAGTTACCCCAAGATCATCCCGTTTGTAACCTCCTTCATGTTCTCTTCCCCTGTTACCCCTCTAACTTTGTATTATGAAAACTTTCAAATATACAGAAAAGTTGGAACAATTGTCGAGTGAACACTCCTATACCATCATTAATATTTTACCCTATTTGCTTTTTTATCTTTCCATCTATCCATTCATCAGTCCATCTCAATTTTTCATTCATTTCCAAGTAAGCTGAAGAAATCGGAATATTTTATAAGTGTACATTTGCTGAATTTAAACAAATGCATGCACTTGTATAACCCAAACCCTTCTGTAAAGCCCTTTTAATCTCAAGAAACTTTTACCTCCTGGTTCTTTATTCACCTTCTCTGTCCTTTCTCCTCAAATCCTTGTTTCCTCTTCTTTCTAACAGACTTTGCAAATCTGTTAAACCCAGAACCAGAAGGAACTCAACAGCTAATCCCCCTTTCTCCCTAGGAAGTGTTAATCATCTCTGAAACAGCAGATTTAGTGCTTTAGAGCTTGGTGAAGAGCCAGACAGTATTTTCAGCTTTGCAGGCCTGGCCTTACAGTCTGTCACAACTACTCAGCTCTGCCCTTGTAGTGTAAAACCAACCACAGACATTACATAAACAAATGAGCATGGCTGTGTTCTAATAACCCTATTTACAGACACTGAAATTTGTGTTTCATGTAATTTTCTCATTTCACAAAATATTTATTCTTTTTGATTTTATCTTAACTACTTAAAATTATGAAATCTTGGACTTCTCTGGCCATGCAGTGGTTAAGACTCCGCACTTCCACTGCAGGGGGCATGGGTTCAGGCTCTGGTCAGGGAACAAAGATCCCACATGCCGCCAGTGCGGCCAAAAAAGTAAATAAATAAAATAAAATTATGAAATCTACTCTTAGCCATAAAAAACAAAGGGACTTCCCTGGTGGTCCAGTGGTTAAGACTCCATGCTCCCAATGCCGGGGTCCCGGGGTTGATCCCTGGTCAGGGAACTAGATCCTGCGTGCCGCAACAAAAGATCCCGTGTGCCACAACTAAGAACCGGCACAGCCAAGTAAATAAGTAATATTAAAACAAAACAAAACCAAGCAGCAGGCTGATTTAGTCTGTGGGCTGTAATTTATTAATTCCTGCTTTAGAACCTCACTGCTCCTAAGGTGTCCTCAGACTAGCCCTATGGCAGCTTATTTGAAAGAGATTCTCTGGTCCAACCCCAGACCTCCTGAATCAGAACCTGTATTTTCACTGATTCCTGGATGATTCTTGTTCACATGAAAATTTGAGAAGCACTACCCCATAGCTTGGGTTTGGAGACCAGAATGCAAGAGGTTGAATTCATCCACTCTTACTGGATGAGTGACTGATGGTAAGTTACCGTAATTGCAGGTTTAAAAATAGAATTCTACTTATTAGTAATTATGAGACAAATTGACAATTACTGATACAGATTGTGCACCTAAAAAATTCTGAAGGAAAAAACCCTAGCACAATATGGGAAAATGAAAGAGTTGTGAAATGAATGTTATATCTGATTGTTCACTTTATATGTGGAATAAACTCTTAGAAGATATATACTGGCAAAAACTCCTAAATATTTATGTACTTTAAAAAGACAAACAAAACTGATCTTACTAACAATTTAAAATATTATAGTGGTACAATTTGTTTTTAATGTGATATTGAATAGAGATAAAGTATAGTGAATACTGAGGTGTGCCACCCATCTCTCTCCCTTTCAGGGCCAAAGCACCCATCCCCCTAGCTGCTGGAATTGTTGGCTGCTGACAACTCACAGCTGAGTCCCTCTTCAGCAATTGCAAAGGTACAAACACCCAACCTCCTTGCCATTTTTCGGGAAATCACTGAGAGCCATCTTAGTTTTAAACCACACCTGAATATCCATTTGGTGTCAAGGAACCCAGGATCCGACACAGATCAACAGAATATAGAAAGGACATCAGCAAAAGCAATACTACTGCAGTAGTGAAGACGCTCTTGTCTGAAAGCTAAAGAAACCAACTCTGGCTACCTTCAGCAGAAAAGGCAGTTAACCAGAATACTAGGGTAAGGAGTGGGTTGAAGAAAACCCTGGACAACAAGAATTATCTAATAATCAGCTAGGGCTGTTTGGGGAATGCTTGAACCTTCTATATTGTGGCAGCTCCCAGGCTAGGCATGTCTCCCTTCCAGATTTCAGACTGCCAGGAGAGGGAAGGTGACTGGCTGAGCTTGGGGTGAGGGCAGCTCTGGCAGGGTCGGGAAGTAGGGGAAAGGGGAGGTGGTGGACAAGACGTAGTCAAGACTACTTATAGGGTGACCAACTGTCCTGGTTTTCCCAGGACTATCCCGGTTTTAGCACTGAAACACCTGCTTCCCGGGAAACCCCTCCTCAGGACGTGCAAAGTCCCAGTTTTTGCAATGGGTGCAAAGGTTGTGGGTAAAGTAGAAAACTGGTATGGTGGCCCCCAAAATAGGAACTGCTGAAAGCAACAGATTTTAGTGTCAAATGATACAGCAGAGATTTTTTTGCCTTCCATACTGCCCCTGACTGCTGATGTCGATAACCAAGATCGGTAGTTCACAATAAGGAATCATTCATTGATGCATCACTCTGAGTAACGCAACTTAAGTGTATTGTAATTAGGAGCCGTAACTGTCTTTGCCTGTGCCTGTGGATTAACTCATGCTTTGTATCAAGTAGTGCTAGTTTTAACTTCTGACATTGTGAATACTGTGATAATGTTTTCTAAGATTTCAGATAATGAAAAGAATGGTTACGATACCAACACCAGCATAACCCAGACCAAAAAAAGGCTAAGTGAATGTGTTCTTTTTTTTTTTTTTTTTTTTGCGGTACGTGGGCCTCTCACTGCCGTGGCCTCTCCCATTGCGGAGCACAGGCGCCGGACGCGCAGGCTCAGCGGCCACGGCTCACGGGCCCAGCCGCTCCGCGGCACGCGGGATCCTCCTGGACCGGGTCACGAACCCGCGTCCCCTGCATCGGCAGGGAGACTCTCAACTACTGCGACACCAGGGAAGCCCAAATGTGTTCTTTTAATGACAAATGGAAGGACACATGGATTAGGGAGATAAATAACCAAAACAGAGAATACTGAACAATATGGAGAAAATTCAGGATTGAGTATTCGGGAGAAAGGTATGTAAAAGTACACACGGTGGCAATCTCACAAGTCTGGGAAAAGACAGGTAAGTACTTTTAACTTTGTCAAGGTTTTTCAGCTCCCCCAAAGACACCAATAAAAATAGTGGTGGTGAATTGGCTTAGGTATACCAAACACACATCGTCATCATTCCTTTGACTGCTCTGTGAAACCAGGTACAGTTCAGGTACAGTTAATTTTCCGAACTCAGAGCTTGCAGCTAAAACATCCCGTGGGCAAGCTAAAGGGGAAATTTTGACAAGATATGTTGGTCCCTTACAGTCTAAAGCCTATTTTGTCAGATCTTGCCAGCCATCATGATCAGCGTTCTACAGTTTATCGAGTGGTGTGTGGAGTCATGGTAACAAAAATTTCCCCCTAGTTCTTAAGGTACTCGAAAAATGGAGTTTCAAATCATCTTCTTGATTTCTATGAAGATTTTAATGAAACCACACCCACACAAACATAAAACGAAAGGGTGTTGATATCTTGTTCAATTAATAACTAGATTTTGTTCATCTATCTGCACATTTGGCAGACAATGTAGATGTAATTTTCGTAAATTCCATTCAGTCCCTAAACTTTTCACCGAAGAAAATAAAAAGATATTAGGGACTTCCCTGGCGGTCCAGTGGTTAAGACTTCACCTTCCAATGCAGGTGGTGTGGGTTTGATCCCTGGTCGGGGAGCTAAGATCCCACATGCCTCGTGGCCAAAAAACCAAAACGGAAAATAGAAGCAATATTGTAACAAATTCAATAAAGGCTTTAAAAATGG